TATTTGTTATGATGAAAGGAAAGAAAATTTGTTAATTTAAGTACCACATAAATTAAACGAATAGTTTACTACGAATTCCTATTTTTTTTTTCTTTTTTCTCTGGAAATTCAAAACCTCACAATCGAATTTCATCATCAACTCGAATAAAATTATTTTGACGAGAAAGAAAGAAAAAATTTCGCGATATTGTTTTACACAAACGACGAATCTTGCAAAGATTATTATATTTATATTTATAACACGTTATGAAATAAAATAATAGAAATATTCATACGTAAGATAATTTTTATTGAATAGCTCGAAAAGAACCACATCTACATGCAGTCAAGATTAATTGTTTCATAAGTTAATATTTGTTATGATGAAAGGAAAGAAAATTTGTTAATTTAAGTACCACATAAATTAAACGAATAGTTTACTGCGAATTCCTATTTTTTTTTTCTTTTTTCTCTGGAAATTCAAAACCTCACAATCGACTTTCATCATCAACTCGAATACAATTATTTTGACGAGAAAGAAAGAAAAAATTTCGCGATATTGTTTTACACAAACGACGAACCTTGCAAAGGTTATTATATTTATATTTATAACACGTTATTTTATTTCATAAGTGTTATGAAATAAAATAATAGAAATATTCATATGTAACATAATTTTTATTGAATAGCTCGAAAAGAACCACATCTACATGCAGCCAAGATTAATTGTTTCATAAGTTAATATTTGTTATGATGAAAGGAAAGAAAAATCATTTAAGTACAATAAATTAAACGAAAAGTTTATCGATACACGCTTTGGCATCTCGTGTAATAACGACACATTGAATTACCAGATAACGTACCATCCTATTTATCGGAATAAATAATTTATTATTCGAGAAATAATTTATCAGAAAATAATATATAACGTGTCAACCAATTTTCGACGATTGGCCTCGTATATTCGATAAACATTTCAAGACGAATACCTTTTTGTCCTCCATTTTTTCGCAAGCCTTCCCACACTCGTCGATCTCTCCTCTCTACATTATCTCGAGCTGGGAAAAGAATCCGGCCGGCGGAATTGGAAATTTAATTAACGAACGATGGGATCAAGTGTATCGAATATCGAGCGTGTAAAAACGAACGAGGCTCGGCCGGTTGGCAATGAACTTTTTCCAAATGGCTTTTTTAATGACTGCTGCGCCACCACGCGTTGTATATCGGCTCGGTTAATGATCCGTGACTTTCGTTAAACGGGGATACAATTCCTCCGGATTTTTCACCCGATAAAAATAAAAAAGTTTTGAAATTGAAACCTGCCTGGAATCGAAAGTTTGATTATTCTGTAAAACGAACGAAAAATGGAGGGGTAGATTGAATCCTCGTTTACGAATATATTGGAATAATCACAATGTCAATCAGGAAGTTTTAACGAAAATAAAAATCGAGAGATCCGCAAGATTCTCGAAACTTTTAAATTTATTTTTAACAGATATTTTTTTCGTGTATTTCGTTAGAGGCAAGAAAGGAAAGATAAGGATGAGAAAGATATTTATATACAAGAGAAGAGGAAGATGCCTTCACATTTAAACTCGGATGGAATCGAATTTGAAATCTCTTTGGCAAACAATGTCTTTGCATTGGAACGTGTTTGGCCAAGTTTTCTTGATATTACTGGTATCATCGTATGGTGGAGCTATGATCATCATTTCTGATATCATCGTATCACTTGGCAATATTTCCAAAGTTTCGTCGAATTTCAAGATCGCTGACGTCGTTTCGAGGTCCCAGAATTCGCGCGAGATTTGAATTTCCCGCCACTTGCGCGAGCTTCTAACTAGATTTTTCAATACAACGCGATAAAAAAAAACATTTTCCTTTCATTCTAATTTTGAAAAATTTCTTTTGAAAAAACCCTTTTGTCTCGAAACTCGTTGAATTTATCTGGCGCATATTAATTAATGAAGTTACACTTCATCCTTCCAAAACCATGCAAATATTTTCTTTTCTTTTTTTAAATACGAAGCTTTCACTGTAAATGATTTTTGTCAAAGTGTTTTCTCGTTTAAGTATCGTCGACGATATAGAGTGTCTCAAAATTCACGCAAAATTTGAATTTCGCGCGAGAAGTAAAGTGTTGCCAACGAAAAAAAAAAAAGACAGCTGACAGTTCAAGCGAAAGAGCGACGCGTTTTCATCGTCGAGCGACGTTTTAAAAATAACGAAAGTTTCTCGAGCAAAATCACGTTCAACGACGAGGTTCGTTCTCATCTCGATGGATCGGTTAATCGAGAAAATTGTCGCATTTGGGGCTCGGAAAATCCGCGGGCGATCGTTGAGAAACAGACGCATCCGCAACGCGTCGCTTTTTGGCGGGAATTTCGAATTGGAGGACATTCATCGAATCGTTCTTCTTCGAAATGCGGTTGGTCAAGCGATGACGGTGAACGGTGCTCGATAATCCAGTTTTTCGTGCCTAAATTGCGAGATATGGACGCGGAAATATGCCACGTGCCATACAGCTCGAGAAACTATTCAATCATTGCGCGAGTCATTTCCTGGTCGTGTAATTTTCGGTGATCGGAATCGGCCGACCAGATCGTGCTGTTTAACGCCCTTCGACTTTTTTCCTTGAGCTTGTTTGAAATCTAAGGTTTGCCACGCCTCGAAGGAGGAAATTGAGCGCTGTATCTACGAAATTCAGCCATATTCACGCGAAACGATCGTGGAAAATTTGGACAAAAGAGGGCATGAATCATTAAAAAATTTACAATTTCCTATGAAAACATTACTTCTTTACAAATCGGAAAAAATCGGCTAGATAAGTATCCTCCTCGACGAGAATTCGAAGAAAAGAAATTACATGACTCGTCGAGAGATGGAATTTCGATCTAAATTTCTTTTTTCCTCTTTACAAAAATCACACTTTTCATTTATCCTCTTTTATTGCACTTAAAAATTTGCACCCTTTCTCCCCTCGCTTCGTCCAGCTTCGACAACTCATTCTAACTCTAGGAAACTGTGACCTGCCCCCTCCTCTTCCTCCCTTGTCGAATTAGCGCACGCATCCGCAACAATTACGAGCCCTTTATCCAACGATTATTGAAATCTAGCAGGTTGGCAGTGCTACGTAGACGGACCGTCCGTTTGTACGCCTTCGAGGCGTTCCCCTTCCTGAGGAACGTGTACTTCTCGTTCGTGTAACGCGTGTAATTGGGCACGTCGTTGTGGGATGGCTGTTGTTGTTGGGCCGAGCTCTTGCCGGGGCAGAAATGATCCGACGATCGATTCGCAAGCAACGCGTGCTTCCACAGATTCGTCTCCACCACGAATTTCCCACCGTTCTCCGAATTTGTCGTCGCCAATTGGATCTTGTCCACCTCGGTCAGCATCCCGTTCCTCGAGTTCTCCCGCGACCGTTTGTAAATCGTGTACAAGCTGTTCGCGTTGGGATCGCCGCGCTTCCCCTCGTCCGTCGTCATGTCCGTCAACAGCTCCTCCAACGTCTCCTTCTTCCGCCTGTCCCTCCTCCAAGAGTCGCGGGAAACGTTGGCCGCAGGTGGCGCCGCCCACCGGTCGTCGCTCGAGTTCTTCCCCCTCCTGTTATCGCGCAGAGAATCCCATGACGAGTTGCACCTCGATCCCTTGTTGCTGCGCTGCGAATTGAAAATAATTAATTACGAATAATTAAAAAGTAATAAGAATAGTAATTAAAAATTAAGAAACATTGGGGGGGAAGGTAAATTTTGGAGGATTATATACCTCGTTTATTGTACCATCGTCGATACAGCTTTCGAGGAAGACAGACTGCTCGGAATAGGACTTGGCCACGCAGGAATCTTCCTCCGTCGATGCCGTTGATCTTTCTTTCTTCGAACGACGCCTCGTGTATTCTATTGGCGACGATACTTGCCCGCTGAACGAAACCACCTGTGCCGAGTTAATTAAATGATTTAATTGAATATCCCGAATGAATATCTTTTTTTTTTTTTTTTTTTTTTTTTTGGAAAGAAGATTTGAAGAATTTTCGATTCGATTCTCTCTCTCTCTCTCTCTCTCACCTTTCTGGGAACGATGACATTTTTAACGGACGTAGACGATTCCGACGTGAATTTTGCCCTCTCGACGATAGAACTGTCGCACGATGAGAATAAATTCTCGATGTCTTGGGGGTGTATAAAATGACTATATTTGCGAAATTTAATCAAAGGAGCGTATTTGAAACACTCCACGGGTGAAGGTGGGGGAGCAGTGAACTCATTATCCTCTTCCTATTTACAACGAACGTAATGAAATACTCGAAGGATGGAATAATAATCGTGTCTTTGTTATTATTATTATTATTATTATTATTTAAACGATCTACGGAATTATAAATCGGATAGAACGTTTTTTCGTCCCTCACGTTTTTTCGACAAAAGAGGGAAGGGATGGGGGAAGAAGTGTAATTTTTTATTTTAAAAAAAAAAAAAAAAATACTCACCCAGTTTTACGAAGATAATTGTAACCTAACCTACAACCAAGTGTTACCTTTTTAACCCCCGATCTACGAATGATAAAATCGAATTGCTGGGGAATGCAAGATATGAAAAAAAAAAAAAAAAAAAAAAAAAGTTTAAAACATTGATGATTGAATGAATTTGCCCAACGTACACAACGGAACGACAGCTGGCTGTACAATTTACAAGTCAGAACGTTATTATCATCGAACTCCACGTCGAATTTCCAAGGCAGCATCGCGATATTTTCCCGAGAGCCATTTTCACCCTTCTTCATATCCACGAATATAAAATTGAGAATATCTCCTTCATCAGAAAGAAATTTCTCTCCTCCCTCCCTCTCTCTCTCTCTCTCTCTCTCTCTCTATCTTTCTCTCTTTCTCTCTCTGTCTCCGGTCTCTCTTTTTCCCCCTCCCTTTTTTTCTCTCGAATATGTCCACTCGCGAACTCTGTGCTCTCTGTACAAGAAAGAAAACGCGACGAAGAAGGAAAAAAAATCCCGTGTTATTGAAACAATAATACAACGACGAGGCGTTAATTTTGAATTGAAAATTTTCTCCGATTTTGCTATATACACCGCGCCAAATAAACTAATAAGATTTTCCTTTCCTCTCGCCGCAAACTTCTCTTCCCTTATTTTCGCTCGCTTATGGAGGGGGAGAAAAAAAAAGAAGAAGTATATAGGAAGGAGGGGAAGGTCATTCCAGAAACCAACAGTCGCCATCTGTTGTCGAAAAACGAATTCTCCGTTGCTTCTCAATTATCCACGCGCTGCTTCAAACAAATTTTAATTAAATTATCGAAATGCATCGCTGAATTATTCGAATTAACTTTTAAGACAGAGTAACGAATGACTCTTATTTATATTCAAATTATACGATTATAGTTTGTGCTGCAGATTACAAAGGATTACTAGTCAAACGTTAAACGTTAAAATCGCCTTGCGCAAAAGAATTTTGAACGAGCCCATTCCGTTATTATTCCGTCCTTCTTCTTCATGTATTTCGAAAAAATTCAATTATTGAGACAGTGAATCGACTTAAAACTACTCCCCTGGAGATTGTCAACGAAAAAAGAAAGGAAAAGTGTCGAGGTGGAGACGAACGTGTCAGTGTGAAACACTGATATATGATTAATTCACGAGCAAAGGGAAGCTCAAGAAAAGGAGAGGAAGAGGGGTAACAATCGAATTATCAGGCTGTTGCGAGCGAAACCATTTTTCTGCTTCGTTTTCTCTCCCCCTCAGGCTTGTAAAACTTTTATATATTGTGTGTGTGTGTGTGTAGGAGCACACAACCCTTTCTCGGCTACACGTCCTCCCAATGCCGATCCTTGTTCCGTCTGCGGAATGCGGATCACGGTTTTACCGAAAAACTGGAAAATACGGGTTCATTAATCTAACAAGGTGGATTCAACGTATTCTTCTTCGTTGTCGAGAAAATAGAGAGAGAGAGAGAGAGAGAGGAAAGGGTATAGGAAATAATTTTTGTTAATTGTATAGGGGGTGGTTATTAATTGTTTTTATTTTAATAATAGTAATAAAAGTATCCGTTAACGATGTAGATATAAATTTCAGAAGAGTTTTTATGAAATTTATTTGGAAATTTCTAATTTTAATGGTCGAAAAATATGGAATGAAAAGTAATTTTTCTCCTCCCTTTTTTTTTTTTCAAATTTTTATCTCCATTTTAAAACTTTTATTTTTATCGCGGTGCGCACCTTTCGATGAGGAATAAATAAATAAATAAAAAAAAAAATAAAAAAAGTTTCGCTATAACTGTTAATCGATAATGAATCGTTAAAAGTTCAGGGAAATTCGGTAACGGAACGGAAATGTGTAGCCGACATTTTGACATTTTTCCCGGGAAAAATTGAAAAATATTATATACGTATATTTCGGTCGCCGTGTTGTATATTCTGCGTTTGACGTCAGTGTTCCAAGAGTATAAACAATTCCTTTTTTTTTTTTTTTCTCTCCCCCCTCCCCCCTCACTCGTTAATTAGCGCCTCTTGTAACCCCCGTGTGTCAATAACCGCGCGCTTGTTATCAATGTTGAAACCTGTGGTACCTGCACCACCGAGGTGCAGGATCAAACGGATAAAGGGATCGTTTTTGAAATAATTATACGATTATTCGTTCTTTTATTTCCCTTTCTTTCTTTCTTTCTTTCTTTTTTTTTTCTTTCTTTCTTTCTTTCTTTCTTTTCCCACCACCGCAATGGTGGAAGCGGAATTAAATACACGGCTGATGAATAATGCTAATAAACGAGAAAATACCTCCATTTATATTCACGTTGAACAATGGTTTCAAAGTGATATGAATAATAATAATAATAACAATAATAATAATAATAATAATCGTGCGTTTAACGAGGAAGCATCCCGAAGAGTGGAAAATTTCTACCTTTTTCTTTTCTTTTTTTTTTTTTTTTCAAAATCTTTCAGAATCGCTATTATTACAATTCGCTTTGGAGAGTTGTGTTCGAGATCTATGGATCTCGAGGATTTTTAACCAAACGCGAGAGGAATTTCGAAGGACAATTCGAAATCTTTTTAATTTTCATGGATCGTTCAGTATTATTTCCAAAATTTTCTAATTTTCTAATTTTTCCTTGGAAGCAAAAATTTTAATTGTTAAAACGAT